CGGATTGGTTCGTTCCGGGGCCTGGTTCCCACCTCGGTTTTCTTAAACGACCCGACCCCTGTGTTTCTTTTCCATAGGAAATGGATTTTACCATGGGAGAGAAAGCACAACTCGGCTCGGGTGCTGTCTTCTGATTGGTCGGTGCTGTCTTATGATTGGTCGACAACCCAGGCTTCGGATTGGTCCGATTTCGATCCTGTTTTGGGGAAGGGTTATCCATCCATCAGACGTTCAGTCCCTCTTAGAGTACAGACGTTCATCAGATACGCATCGCTATCATGACGAGCAACCCAAGTACGCCCTATCGTTTGGAGAGGCAAGACATCACCCGCTCCAGACGATTAAGACCCGCTAACCATACCTATCGTTTGACTTTCAACCCAGACTACTTGGACACCGTACCACCGGAACGCGTTCCCATGGAACTGCCAGTTTTATTTGACAGGGTCATCGATGACTTTTATGAACAGATGTCAGGCCAGAAGGGAGATCGTATTGGTCTAGGTATCGATCATCCCGCTTTGAACACCTCCATACGGATTCCCTTTCGTCGCTTTGAAGATCTCCATGGGCTCGATATTTTGCATGCCGTGGAAAAAGTCCAACAGTCCAACAAAGACCTGAACATCGATGCCACCATGGTGGTGACTTTAGTACACGTCTCAGATCCCGACAGGCTAGGATCGGGCAGTGGCGGTCATCAACTGAAACACGTGATTGGACTCGAAGCCTTTTTAACACGCAAACAGTGCATTGTACGGATCAACAACCAAGATCAATCCTGTTTGGCACGGGCCCTGGTGGTGGCACAACATTATGCCCAGAAACCCCTCCCTTTGACCCCAGAATGGACCGCCGAGCGAGTGAGACTGACGAGAACGAATCGCGTCGACGTTCAAGGCATACGGGCACGGGACTTGTTTCGACGCCTTGGCCTGTCTGAAGGCCCCTGTCAGGGCCTGGACGACCTCGCACGCGTGGGACGCGCCTTGGTCCCCCTGAATTATCAACTGAAAGTCTACAGTCAAGAGGTGGACCAGAGACTGTTGTACAAGTGTGATGAGGCTCCACCCCACGCCACGGTGCTGCATCTATACCATCATGATCAGCACTACGATGTCATCACGTCCATGCCCGCTTTTTATGGCTCTAACCATTACTGCGAACGCTGCGACAAACGTTACGATCATCCCGAAAAACATCCCTGCACCAAGGAATACCGCTGTCACCGCTGCCTCCACTGTACCTATTGCAAGTCCCTGGAAGAGCACGGGATCCCTTGCTTGACATGTCAACGTTGGTTCCCCAATCCATCGTGTTACACTTGACATCTCCAGTCACCGTCAGAGGGAAAACCCAGCGCCTGCCAATCGATTCACAGGTGCCCGACCTGTTTTCATCTGGTCCGCATCTTGGAGACCCCCATGGTTCACCACGAGTGCTTCGACGAAGACCATCCCTGCTTGGTGTGCCGAGAACCCATGACCCCAGACCATCGCTGTTACATGACGCCTCTCCGTGAAGAAAACGAGGAGGAGGGGGAAGGGGAGGAGGGGGAGGGGGAAGAGGAAGCGGAGAAGGAGGGGGAAGAGGAACAACATCACGTACGAGACAATGTACGATACGCCTTCTATGATTTTGAATGCATGCAAGACACGGGGGAACACATTCCAAATTTGTGCGTGGTGCAACTGGGATGTGGACGGTGCATCAGTGAAGTCAGCAAGGACTTGTGCGAACACTGTCCATGGAGAGAAGAAGGATATGGTCCCAGCCGTGAGATCGTGTTTCGAGGCCCCACCACGCGACATGATGTGTGTGTGTGGTTGACCACGTTGGCTGAAAAACCCAGGAAGAAGCCCCACCCAGAGGAAGAAGAGGGCAGCACACGCAAGGGGACAACAGACCGTCTGGGGAAAAAAAGAAAACGGGATGACACCCCCTCAAGAAAGTACGCTTCCAAACGTCATCGACATGCATCACCCCAGCAGGAGGCGGAGGAGGGGGAAGAGGGGGATGAGGAAGAGGCCATGGAAGTGGAGAAAACAAAGAAGCCAAAGAACAAGAACACCACTTGCCATACAGTCCCGAAGGAGGATCGCATTTATGTGATGGCCCACAATGCACGATCGTATGATTTACACTTAATCCTGAAGGGTCTGTCCCCCCTCCTGGTGACACTCCCCACCAAGATCCGACATGGCCAACACATTTTGCAGATGACCCTGGGACGGTTGTGTTTCGAAGACAGCTTAAATTTCATCCCTTACCCCCTGAAAGCCTTTCCCAAGAGCTTTGGGCTGAAAGAAATGAAGAAAGGGTACTTTCCGCACTTTTTCAATACGGGAGTCAACCAGACCTACAGAGGTCCCTATCCACCAGCCGTCACGTACGATCCCGATGGCATGTCTCCCGCGGAACGCACCGCCTTCCTCCAGTGGCATACTCAAAAAGTGCAAGAAGGAGCTTTGTTCGACTTACAAGGAGAACTTTTAGCTTACTGTCAGAGTGATGTGGACATTTTGAGACGGGGATGCGCCGACTTCCGACAGAACGCCATCCACTCGGTGGGCATGGATCCCTTTGTGGAAGTGATGACAGCTGCTGCCTTCACCATGAAATCCTTTCGAAAACACGACCTGAAACCCAAAACCATCGCCATTCTTCCACCTCAAGGCTACCAACCCAAGAGAAACTATTCCCAGGCCTGTATGCACTGGCTCCACTATCTGATGGAAACGGACCCCCATCTGCACCTCCAGCACGCCAGGAATGGAGGTGAACAAGAGTTCACGTGTGGAGAGGGCCACCATCGGTACAGCGTGGATGGCTACGATCCAGCGACAGGCACCATCTACGAGTTCCTGGGCTGTTTCTGGCATGGGTGCCAGACCTGTCACAAGACCCAACGTGGAGAACCACATCCCGTCCTTGGCACGTCGTTGGGAGCCCGTTACACCGACACCCGCTACCGCTTGAGTCTGCTGAGTCAACACCCTGAGGTGAAACGGATCTTCACCCTGTGGGAGCACGAGTTTACGAAAATGCAACGGGAGGACTCCGCTCTGCGTGCTTTCTTGCAGGGACCCCGCTGTATCCACGTCCCCGGGCCGCTCAACCCTCGCGACGCTTTCTATGGAGGACGCACCAATGCGACGCGATTATGCTACGAAGCCCAAGATGGTGAAACCATCAAGTACATCGATATTTGTTCCCTTTACCCCTACATTTGTAAGACCGGAGCGTTTCCCACGGGACACCCGACCCTTCTCCATCAACCCCCTGTGGACACGTTGTTTGAACTGAAAGGCCTGATCCAATGCCGTGTCCTACCCCCGAAACGCCTCTACCACCCGCTACTGCCTTACAGATCGGGTGGCAAACTGCTCTGTCCTTTGTGCCGTACGTGTGCCGATGCCCGGTCAGACTCCCCCTGCCAGCACACGGACGAAGAGAGGTCATGGGTCGGGACGTACGCCACCGTAGAACTTCAGGAAGCCGTGAAGAAGTATGACTACCGGGTGCTTCAGATCTACGACGTTTGGCATTTTGACACTTTTGCACAGCATGACCCCGACACCCAGCAAGTGGGACTCTTTGACACTTACATCGATCGGCATTTCAAGGAGAAGCTCGAAGCCAGCGGATACCCCGAGGGATGTACGGATCACGATGCTTACATCCAGGAAATCTATGACAAAGAAGGCATTGGGTTGGACAAGGATCGCATCGAAAAAAATCCAGGACGTCGCACGATTGCCAAGATGCAACTGAATTCGCTCTGGGGCAAGTTTGGACAACGGGTAGACTACAGTCAGAACGTCTATATCAGCGATCCTGTACAGTACTTTGCCTTGTGGAGGGATGACCGCAATACCATCGAGGATGTGACCGTTGTCAACGAACACATGGTGGAAGTGACCTATACCCATCGGAAAGAATACCAAACCCCTCATTCTCATTTCAACGTCGCCATCGCCGCTTGGGTAGCCCAAGCACGTCTCAAGCTGTACGAGACCCTTGCCCTGGTGGGCCGCAGGGTCTTGTATTTTGACACGGACACCGTCATTTACATTCATCGACCCCACGATGAAAATCCAGAGCTGGGCCATTCGTTGGGTGAGTTTACGGATGAACTGGACGGAAACACCATCAAGACGTTTGTGTCGGGAGGTCCCAAAAACTATGGCTACGAGTTAATGAACCCCAGACCCGATGGAACGCGCACGACCTGCAAAGTGCGAGGGTTCACTTTGAATTACCGAAACCAACACCATCTCAACTTTGACACCATGAAAGGACTGATACTGGGACAACGGCCTGGGAAAGACGAGGAGAAAATCAGTTTGCATTACCCTCATCAGATCATTCGAAAAGGACCTCGTCACGAAAACGCAATTGTGACCCGACCCTCCCGAAAAGACTATCGTACCGTGTACGACAAGCGACGAAACCACAGGGCTGCCTGTAGATACGCTCCCCTTTGGGTACAGAGACGACTTTCACTAAAAACAATTTCATAACAGCGGATCGAAACCGAATCGACATGGACCCCTACAGAAAAAAACGGATCGAAATCTGACCAATCCGAAGCCTGGGTTGTCGACCAATCAGAGGCCGCACTCGGACCAGGGTGGGCTCTGATTGGTCGAACCGAGGTTGTGCTTTCTCTCTCACGCTACAAGACTAACCCTATGGAAAAGAAACACAAGGGTCGGTCCATTTTGGAAAACCAAGGTGAAAGTCCGACACCGGAACGGACCAATCAGAAAGCAGGACCTCCGTGGCTTTTAATACGACCGACGCTCTCCGGTCCTCACTTTTCACTGAACGGACCAAGCAACAACATCGTCCCTCTGATTGATGTTCCTCACGTTGTGTTGGCTGTTGGCGTTTTATCTGGAAGAAACACGTGTTTGGAGAGAGTACCATCAAGTGTTGACACACATCCGTGAAGACTTGGAAAGAAAAAACAACGAACAGAACATCCGAACAACATCATGTCGAAACGGTTGAATGACAAGACACGAAGCGACATGAGTGGCCAAGGAAGCAGTGGAGATGGGAACGGTGACATGACTGCTGAACTGTGGGGTGAAGTGTACGACTTGCTGTGTTTAAAGATGAAGACCGACGACGCGTACGCCAAGTTACGTGCGAAGGGCGACAACCTGATGTGCGAACAGATACGTTCAAAGATGAGGAAGCTGACTGAACCCGAGAAAGGCACATCGAAGAGGACGATTAAGAAGATCCAGAAGAAAAAGACGAGCAAACCCACAGCCATGGTGACCCCAACAGCAGCAGCAACACCCACCACCACCACCATCACCACCACAGCGCCAGTCCCCACCACCACCACCACAGCAGCCACAGCAACCACTGCAACAGCGACAACAGACACCGAAACAATGGGGACATCCTTTTTGAAACCTGCAACACCTGCAGCGTCTGCAAAAAGACGATCACGGAAGAAATTATCTCTGAAGATCTCTCCTCAAGAACAACTGTAAGTACCCTGCTCTTCTTTGTCTCAGTCGTTCTTGATGTGATGTTGATGTTGATGATGATGATGATGATGATAGCGATGTTGATGATGACTATACCTATGCCTATGATGAATGGACTCTGTCCTTTGATTGACAGGACCCCTGATGTCAGTTCAGCCCAGACCGTGCTAGAACAGTGGTGGGAACAAACCCCTCGGGAGCCCACCTATTCACCGAATGCCCCTGTGACGATGGCGACGGGTGACCTCGATGATCATGAAGCGCTCAAGCTGGCCACTCTCCCATCCATGGATCTGGACACGCTCCCCCTGCTTGAGGCTTCATGGTCACCAGCATCACCGGAAGAGGTTCATGTCTACTCCTCAGGTACGCCCATGGTTTGCGACGATGATGATGATGATGACAATGTTGACCTGGATCCTTATGGAGAAGCTCAACTCACTCCCCTACAACGCGAATGTCGTGTTCGCCGACACAACAACATGTTAAGGTACATCAGTTGCAACAGCGGGCAAGTGATGTGCCATGCCTGTGGTCTGGAGCTCATAGACTATACTTGTAGTATGTTGACCTATGACAGCATAGTGACACATGATGACATGCCTATCGCATCTGAGGATCACATCTTATGGTGATCCTCCTCTTCACCCGAAGAACTTTACAACACGTAAGCTGCAACCGTGATCAAGTGATGTGTCATGTCTGTTTCAGGGAGGCCATAGACTGTACGTGTTGAACGGATGGACCTCTCACATGGTTGAGGGAGGACCACCTCTTATGGGATTGAAGACAGAAGAGCTTGAAGATGGAAGAGGAAAACGTTGTCGCGTTATTGATGTTGTTGTTGTTGTTGTTGTTGTAGGGACATGCAAAGCACTCCCTCCTCCATTGACTTTTCGTATTTCCATTGTATCTGGTTGTGATTGGTTTTTTCATGATTAAACAGTGATTGATTGAACTGACTCTTTGTGTCTTGATTGACCTCAACTCCAATAGAGTGCCGAACCGAGGGTAGAAGTTGAGTTGAGATGTCGTTTACGTCGTCTGTCCGTCTGTCTGTCTGTCTGTATGTGCGTCTGTCATGTCCGTGCACACCAAAGTGTAAAATTAAAATAAAAATAGATAAAAGAGAAAGGCTATGCTTGAAAGATCAGCTGCCTGGTGTCAGTCATTCCAGTACGCATCGATCATCCCCACACCCACCGTGTGCCATGTCATGTCATGGATCATGTCATGCCTCATGCCGTGTGTCCGTCAACCCAAACACAGGATGACGTCACGTCATGAGGTGGAGGAGGTGGAAGCTAAGGTCATGACCTTCCGTTGAAGGGAGTAGGGTGGAGAGTTTCATAAAAGCAGGCGAACCCTCAGACCTTCTTTCAGTGAAGTCACAGTCATCATGGAGCAAAGACGTTCTATGAATGCCATGTCATCCTCCCGAGATGTCGTCACCGATTCCGAGTGGGTGTGTGAAAAGGCGAGAGAACCAGAAGCGAGAAAACGTCCACTCTTGATGGACGACACACTCTTGATGGACGACAGGTGTCGACTCGGTGACGTTCTGGAGAGACCTTTTCCTTCTTACACCTTGTGTCATCCTTCTCATCCCCACTATGATTCATTTCAAGAACGTCTGAGGTCTTTTCAAACGTGGCCTAAACAGATGACCCAGACCCCTTATGACATGGCCATGGCTGGCTATTTCTATCCAGGACGAGGGGACTGTGTGACCTGTTATTGCTGCGGTGTGGCACTCCGCCAATTGGAAGCCACAGACCAACCCTGGAAAGAACATCTGAAGCACGACAAAGTCCCCTGCGAATACTTGTGCGTGTTTTGTCCTGATGGAGAAGTGAACGAAAAATACAGACGTTTGGTGTCCCAAGAAGCACGGAAGAGAAGAGTCGAGTGTCTTGTACACCCCAAGTGACAACGTTTTTTTGTTTTTTTTCAAAGTGGTCAGACGTTCCTACCCTCGTGGTCACCCCTCGTGGTCACCCCTCGTGTTCACAAAAATCACAGGGATGACCCCCCTCATCCTGTGACTTTTGTTTTGTTGTGTTGGTTCATGTGATCAGGGGGATTAAATTTGTTTTAAAAACTCATAGTCGTGTTATGTTGTCTGTAGGATGAAGAAAAAACAAAACAGGATCGAAATGCACACCCCGATAAAAACCGGATCGAAATCGGACCAATCGGAAGCCTGGGTAGTCGACCAATCAGAGACCGCGCTCGGACCAGGCGGGGCTCTGATTGGCCGAACCGGGGTTGTGCTTTCTCTCCCATGGTAAAATCCATTTCCTATGGAAAAGAAACACAGGGGTCGGTCCGTTTTGGAAAACCGAGGTGCAGGCCGGGCCCCGGAACGAACCAATCGGGGGAGCTGCCTGGGGAACCAATCAGGAAGCAGGGTGTCAGTGCCTCTCCTATAAAAACAAAACAAGAGCGAAGCCACTCACACACACTGCATTCTATGAAACCCATCATGTCAGCTCGATACAGTTGTATGAAGTGCCAGACCGACAGTCACAGTTACCTGTACTGCCCTGAAGTGACATGCCTCCAGTGTCACGATCAAGGTCACCGTCACTATGTCTGTCCGAAGCTGAGCAGTCTAGAGATGCAGGAGAAGCAGAACCTGGCCCCCTGTTACAACTGTGAAGCCCTGGGTCATTTCGCTGCAGATTGCCCAGAACCCCGTCGAAAGAAGACTCCCCATCGCCTGGACCGCTGTTACAACTGTCGAGCCCTGGGCCATTTCGCTGCAGATTGCCCAGAACCCAGTCGAAAGAAAACGTTAGCAACACCGTCCACGTCGACACCCGTGGCATCCGTGGCAACCGTGACCCCCGTGACCCCCGTGACCCCCGTGGCACCCGTGACACATGTCCTTCATCTCATCGAAGACATGCATGTCGATGTCCTCGACCTAAAAGAATGCCTCACACAACTCCGTGTAGGCATCACACCTCGTGTAGAGAAAAGAAAACGGAACAGAAGCCCCTCACGAAAACACGTTTCAAAGCGTCGACGACACCTTCCGTCCGAGGATGAGATGGAAGTAGAGGATGGAGAAGTTAGATCATCTGAACAAAGTGACTAACGCATGGGCCATGCTGCCCCACTGTTTTTACCCGTTTCCCATCGTTTGCAGTTTTTCCAGTGTTCCAGTGTTCCAGTGTTCCTGCCGTTTCCTGTCGTTTCCAGTTTCCAGTTTGTTTTCCAACGGCCCTTTTCATCTCTCCCGAAAGACAGCTTTTCCTCCTTTGCTTTGACGACGCTCCAATCCACCCTCCACCACACCGTGAACCCACCCCTCCTCCTCCTCCTCCCTCCCCTCCCTCCCTCCCCCCTCCCTCCCTCCCTTCACCCCCACCGCCTTTTCTATTTCTATTTTTAGAACCACACCACAACAACAACCCTGTCGATCTTGTTCACCTTGTACGTGCGCTTCTCCGGGTTTTTCCCCATTCATCTCCTCCCCGGAAACGGAGGCGACGCCCTCTTGGAGGCGCACGCCACCGGACACGGAGGCGACGCCATCTTGAAGGCGCACGCCACCGGACACGGAGGCGACGCCATCTTGAAGGCGCGCGCCACCGGACACGGATGCGACGCCATCTTGGATGCGCGCGCCACCGGAAACGGATGGGACGCCATCTTGGATGCGCACGCAAGTCCCATCATGCCCCGCGCGCATGCGCAGGTCACGTGACCGGATGTGACGTCACAGAGGTCACGTGATCCTCTCGACCAATCAGAAGCCAGGAGCGGTTCTCGGGTAATGTACACAACTACTAACACTAAACCAGTAAATGCCCCCATTGCAACTTAAAAGAAACGCCTGAACTAATGGGCATGGCCTCAGCCCTCCATAATCAAGAATCCAAAAACCACAAAAAAAACCTAATACTTACCGACTACCTAAGTGGACTGCAAGCCCTCCAAAACAAAAATACCAAAAACCGGCCTAAATTAATAAATCAAATACTTAAAAGCTCCAACGACCTAACTAACGCAGGCAAACAAATAACCTTCTTGTGGATACCCGCCCACGTAGGAATATACGGTAATGAAAACGCCGATAAGGCAGCTAAACTATCCCTCAAAATCCCAGAAATAAGCTTAAACTTACCCATCTCAAAATCAGAAATTAAAAGCGTTAACAAGCAAAAAATCACAAAAAATGGCATAATCTATATCTAAACTCAAATAGCCAAATCAAAAAAGTGCTCAGCAAACCACTAACCAGACCAAAAATTCTCCATCCATCAAAACAAATCGACAGAGTAATCACTAAACTCCAAACAGGACACACCAACCTAAATAACCACCTAAAAAATTTAAAAAACACACTACAGGTAACTGCCCACACTGTAAACAACTAGAAACCCCAGAACACGCACTCATCCACTGCACACACTACCTTACACATAGAACCGCATTACAAAACCACCCTCAATCTAAACAAGGCTCTCACTCTAGAAGCAATACTAAACCCACAAAATAAACTAGAAAACTTCAAGGCCTTAGGCGTATTCTTAATCAAAACGGAACTAATAAAACGCATCTAAAAACACAATAACCTACCAAATCAAAATTACATAAACACACAAACATCCACCATACCCAGCTCCCTTAGTTCTCCTCCCCTACCCCATCGGCATCTATTCCAAATCTCAAAATTCCCAAATTCTATATAAGCATCCCCTTAACCCCCCTCTTGGGTTGCACAGACCACTTTCGCCCCTTTCGGAAACACATTAAATGGCCTGGCCGGGCCCGTGTGCGAAATACGCATCAGTCGGAAAGCGCACGTTAAATCTCCAAAGTAAGTAAGTAACAATTTGACTCATCTCGGCTTGGACACTCGCCCCGCGCAGACGTGTCCTTCCTTGCTCGCAACCCAAGCCCTTACCATGAGAGATATCGCTCTATCTCTTCCGAGGGAGTTAGTTGCCATCCTTGCTGGCTTTCAGGGTTGGGAACGACTCCCTCCGGACTTCCAACAAGTCCAACTCCTCTACCCTCTCCATCTCTGGTCAAAGCTCCGGCCAAAACCAAGCCTAAGGTGAAGAAGACCCCGGCCCCTACCCCTGCTGCACCACGCCCGGTACAGAAGGCCAGGCTGCCCAAAGTGAAGAAGGCTCCACCAGTCGCCCCCATGGAGATCCAGGAGAGCCTTCCCACCACCCATCCGCCCACGACAGCTGCACTGGAACTCGCTCCCCTCGAATCCAGAGGGGAGGAGCCCTTTCGCACGCCGGAAGGGACTGGCCACGGAAGGAAGAAGAGGAAGAGGAGAAGTATCTTCTCCCCCGACTCTCCACCCCTCCCATCACCACCACCCAGCAAGACCACGGAAACCCAGACCGCCACACCACCAGGCCCGTCCCTCAACTCCAGCCAAGTCCAGACTGACCCAGTCCCGGATCAAGAGGTTGAGGTAGACGACCGTGTCCACCTTGCAGAACAGGCAGATCTCATACTGGAGCAGCACAAGGTACACCCTAACCCCTGCTACCAGCATGAGAACGGAAGTTCGACCTAGCCAGGAGGCTCCTGGCTGGGCAGAAACAGTAACTTCCTTGCCACCTCAGCTCGCCAGCCGACGCCGTGCCTTCCCACGCAAAACCCTCCCCCACCCCCCCAAGCCCAACTTTTCCACTTTATTATTACTTTTTTACAGACCCCTCCCCCACCAAGCCAAACCCACCCCCCTAGTTTAACTTTTTTAGGTTTACTTCATTTACATTTTTTGGGGTCGCACTTCTTATTTATTCATTACGCTTTTTTTCCTATTTAGTATAAGTGCTTCCCCGTGTGCGAGATACGCTAAATGTAATTTATTACACGCGGAAAGCTCACGTTAAATCCCCGAACGAACGAACGAACGAACAATTTGATGTTCATACGTTTTTCACGAGACCGTGTTCTTGAAATGACGTAAACACTGACGGACTACTTCAACATTCCTGGGGAAACCCCTGGGAATTCCCTACCACGAAAACATACATAAACGTTCTTTCTGATCATTTAGAACCTTAACTCTTGGTCTCAGCGTGTCAGTATACGTTGAGAAATGTCAGAGAGCGTGACTGCATGATTGTTCACGAATATCCTCGCTGCGGCCTATCCTAATGAACAAACGAAGAAATGCACATCTAAACTATCGTAGTATCGACTCGATCCGTGATTAGGTTGACATTGACCGTCTCCAGCAATCTATGAATTTACCTTAGTGTCTGTTTGGCGCATCTTTATTCACCTTTCAATGATCGGCCAGTTGATCAATGATGACTAACACATCTAACCGCCACAGGTTCATTAACAACTTCGGAAATCTCTCCCGTCACGCGTTTATCGTGTCGGCCATTTTGACGTCTTGTACTTGATGCATATGTATTATGACGCGCTGTCATTGTGACTGACTTACTGAGGTAGTTCTTTACAGACCTTTCTCATCTAATGAGGATATGATTTGAATACATGTGCTGCGTAGGATGTTTCTGAAGAGCAAGTTGTGCATCCATACGCCCATGTCACCTCTCTTTTTGAGGAACTATTTTACACCGCGATGTAGCTGGTTGTTGTATGGCTGTCAGTGTAAACATGAAGTCACGCGTACTAAACAAAAAAATTAAATTGTGTTTAGATCTTGGCCTACATCCTTTGGGGTAAGACATTGTGATAAAAACATTATAAAATTTACTTTCACTTTGTGTGAGTTCATTGGAGTATGAACCTTCATAGAGTGAGGGCCAAACATTGTAGGAACGTTGTCGCAAGCTCCGCCGTTAATTGGCCCTCATTCTATGAAGCTTCATACTCCAATGAACTCACACAAAGTGAAGGTCAATTCTTAAATGTACAAAGCTATACAAATGTAGTTAACAAATTGAAGCGAGATAAATGTGCATGAAGCCAGTTTAAAATACGAACAGGTATATAAAACATGGTCGACTGGTATGTAAAGAAGAAAGCATGGATGACTTCATTAATATTCAAAGCCTGGCTACTGATCTTGGATCGGCAAATGCGATTGGAGCGACGCCACGTGGTATTGCTGTTGGAAAACGCCCCATCCCATGCTACTGTCGACACAACTAATGTAAAGGTCACTTTTTGCCACCAAACACCACATCGCACTTTCAGCCACTAGATGCACGAATCATAAAGAATTTCAAGCTTTATTATAAGAAACAGCAAATGAAATTACACCTGGACAATGTTGATGCTGAAGAACCACAAGCCCTAGACGTCAAGCGAACAGGGGACTTTGAGAAATGTGCCTTCAAAATGTGAGAAACAGAAAACACTGACAGACTATTTTAAGTAGATGAAGCAAGTTGTTAAGACAGTAGCACTTGCATTTACACGAGGAAACGTGTGTGGTTGATGTGATATTTTCAGTGAGTAATGTCTCTATTGTTACGTATAAATGGGAAAATTATTATTATTATTGCAATGTCATTAATTATAAATTAAGGAATGAATGAATAAACAACATAACAATATAAATATTTAGTTTTTAATGATTTTATTACGATATAAATATTTCGTTTTTAATGATTTTATTACAAGGTACACACGGTTATTATCTATCGTGAAGATGTCCGATTTTCGATCACAAATCACTTAATTTCGTTAATCCGACATACTCGTTAATCCGACACAAGCATGTGCAACCAACGATGTCGGATTAACGAGACTTGACTGTACGCACATGTCGGAAAGCGCACGTTAAATTCCTAATTTAAGTTAGTAAGTCAATCAGAGAGACGCGGCAGAGATCGATTTGTGTAAGTGACAGGGCGGGTCTCCACACCCGGGAACATTGGCCACTTAGTCCCTGCGTTATGTCACATTATTATCAACCTGTACCATTTCGACATGCAACAATAAACATGGCTGCTGTCGTCTTAAACTTCACCCCTGAGTTTCGTCTTCCGTCCCCACCATGAGCTACCGAAACGTACGCCCTTAGACAATATGTAAAGCCAATTCATTTCTTTTAGCGCCTGAAATTGTTTGCTGTAATGTCATAGGAACATTTTTGGGGGGCGAGACGGAGGCGATTCCATTAAAAAACCACCATCGGCTGTAATAAAACGACTTGTGTTTCGTATCTGGATGGAGTGGTATTTGCCAAAAGCCACTAGCACAATCAAGGACACTCAATTGTTGGCATGGCTGTCGCCTATATATGGTCACTATTTTTAAAACGTTTTTGAGGACAAAAGCTCCACGACGTTCAGGGGTTTTGTTATAGTGCAATCTACTTCAATAGATTTCTTTAAAACTTCATTTATTCAAAATACCTAATTGTTTCAATGTGTTTCTAAAGTGCACTGAAATTCTATCTTTTTTTCTGTTTAATGTATACAGCAAACATTCAGCGTATCCTTTCCAATCATAACGCCCCTCTGGGCACGACCCTCAATACCCTTGTTTATCTATAAATGTCAGGTAATACCTCCTTACATCGCGGGTCCTAACAAATGATCTTTTATTATATAAAAATGCATCATTATAGTGCAATTTTCATTGTTTTATTTTTCATCTTTACAGTTATAATGTTTTAGTTAACAGTGAGAACATTTTAACATATTTTCCATAGGTTGAATTTGGAATGAATAACAAATCTAAAAATAAAGAAAAAAACCATGACCCTACCCAACACCCGACACCTGAAAATGTTACAACAAAACCTGATAATATGGATGGTCAAAGACGCATCTAGAAACATCTAAAGTCATCTTCGAAAAAGAAGGCAAACACTGTTCAGCTAGCGAGGTGATGCCTCCGGTTTTCTGATATTCCAAAAGAATCCTAGCTACTGGTGGACTACCCCACGAAATGTCACACCATTAATGGCAAGCATAATGCTTATCTCCTCAGGCAACTGCATGGTAATATCAAGGCTAAACGTCGTGGATAACTGACTAAAGGTGTGGTGTTTCACTGACAATTCACTTGTGCACAAGTCTGTAGTCACCATGGCTGCAATGCATGACGCTGGCCTTGAACTCATTGAACATCCGCTCCATTCACCATATTTGACACGGTCAGATTTCCACCTCTTCCCAAACTGAAAGAAAGAACTTCCTGGCAAGCACTATGCAACCGATGATGAGGGCATTCCTACCGCGGGGTACTTTTTACGCCACCAGAAGGAAGTCTTCTACACCGTACAGTAGGATCCAGGCACTCCACCCACCCAGTCATAGCAGGTACGCTGGGAGCTTGTCAGTCACAACACCTCCTGTTGGTGTAGCCATTATTTTGTAACTTTGGTCAGACACACAGAACTGTACAGGGACAAATGTTGTTACGAGGGTTTGAATGCAGTGTTTGTGGGCGGTGATACGGACATACCTCGACTGCAGGAAAACACAGACCCTAGAGTCTCAACAAATAACCAATGTAAGCTTGGTAACATCAACTCAATCTTTATTCATAAAGTAGTGGAGGCCATAGGCCCAGTCTACAGTTACATCATTGCTTGAGAGAGTGACAGCATACATACAAAGATACATTATTATACACTGTTCACCCAATTGATTGTCTCAGTTGCATTGATTTATATACGAGATTGCAAGATTTGTAACAGTTTCTGGATTGTCTAAAGACTTTAGTAAGTTAAATTTATGTAATGTTAGATATAAGTAGTATTTTGGGATATATACGAGTAAACACTCCTGAGATTGCCATAGAACAGGAGTACAAGATGGTATTCATCCTTTATGTATCTGTGTTTGCATACATGACATAGTCTATCTGATTTTACTTCTTTAACATATCTACCAGTTTCAATTCCGAGCTGGTGTGAAGAACATCTAAGTTGAACTAATGCAGCACGGAATTTTGAAATGGAAATTTCTTTAATATAGAATTCAAGGCCAAAGGATATTTTGAAAGAAGCGTAGATTACCAATTTAGAAAAGGAAAAAGTGCTGCATGCCAATCTTGCTCGTAGGATGATTTCAGTCTATATAAAAACTCAGATATAAAACTAGAAACATTATATACACGTTCTTGTTACCAGACATATCCGAAACCAAACATGTATAAAATATCTTTATTTTTTGAAGCCCGGGTAGTCTTTCCATTCACACAATCTAAAACTAGTAGAAATATTTCTACACATATCTGGTGTCAGGCATATTCATAACACCCGTATTTGACAACCCTTTTATATGTGAATATATACATAGGATATCGTCAACGTCCACCGCTAACTACAGGACGATTTTTTTACGCATAAAAGCGTTTACAAGCAAGGATGTAAATTGTTTCGATTTCTTTGTGAGTATCCAGTCCCCATATTGCTGAACCATAAAGTAAGATAGGACTAATCCTGGTATCAACAATTTTAAAACATAGATCATTTGGCAGTGGCTTAATCATATACAAGGATTTGAATACACGACAAATAATCTTCTTCGCTTGTATAGCAGCATTACCAACACGTTGAGACCGTGATAAAAATCTTGCGAAAAAAACACCCAAATATTTCTAGAATGAAATAGTGCCATACAAATACCATTT